TGAAACTGTCGGGGTGGAGAATAGGGAGAGAGATGGGGCATTTTCACCCATGCTAAATAATGCCGTTTCAATCCGCTTCAGCGACTGTTTGCAAGTGGGTTTTGCCATTTCACACAGTAACATCCAGTCGCAAAGTGTATAGAAAGTGGATGGAAAGTGCGTTTTTTTTAGTGCGTGTGAAAGTGCCATAGGTCTTGCAGATATGTCATGAAGGGCTTCGTAAGTGATAGCCGATACCTGGAACAGAGTCTGATAACTGATGGGCAGCCAGTGACGTGACAGCAAAATGGAAGCAATGCGCATGCTTCACCTAGTTCCTGATAATAACCAGGCTGCAGCATTCTACACCAGCTGGAGTCTCCATGCAGACTTCGAGGGGAGAGCTATGTAGAGTGCATTACAATAGTCTAGTCTTGGTGTCACCATGGCGTGGATCCAGATCAGCCGAGTCAAAGTAAGGGACCATCTTCCAGTCTAAACTGAATTGGAAGAAAGCTTTTGTTGCAGTGGCATTCACTTGCATCTCCAGCAGTAATGCTGGACCCAGTATAACCCCTACGTTGTTGACCAAGTCAAGAACATAAGAATTAGAACATAAGAGAAGCTATGTTGGATCAGGCCAGTGGCCCATCCAGTCAACATTCTGTTTCACACAGTGGCCAAAAATACCAGGTGCCATCGGGAGGGCCACCAGCGGGGCCAGAACTCCAGAAGCCCTCCCACTCTTGCCTCCCAAGCACCAGGAACACAGAGCATCACTGCCCCAGACAGAGTGTTCCATCTGTACCTTTTGGCTAATAGCCACTGATGGACTTCCTATGGGGTTCATCTACTCTAGCACTGTGTTTCTAGCAGTGGCCAGACAGATGCTTCTGGAAGTTCTCATGAAGGCCATGAAGGTGATCTCCCAGAAACTACCCTGATTTTATCCCCTGAAACTGGCGTATGAAAGTACTGCTGTTGAACATGAATGTTCCATTTAGCTATTAGCCATGACAGCTCAATAGGGCCCTCGATAGATTAATTAATGGGCATTTCATTGACAGATAAAGTGCGTTGGTTTATTAGCTAACACTTGCAGGCAGGTGAGGTCTATCAGGGGTCGCTCCACTGCCGAGCCCCATGAGGGGCCCGGCGGTGGACCTGCAAGGCCGGCGGGAGTGCAAGGAAGCCTCGCGAAGGCCCTCCCTGGGCCTAGGCAGGCAGGGGTGGGGAGAGGCAGGGAGGAAGCAACTTACCCTCCCTCTTCTCCTGCCTCCTCCTGGCTGAATGAGGGCCGGAAGTGGGGTAGCCGGAAGCAGGGGGCGGGGCTTCGTCCTGTGCCCCTCCCCCGTACCTCACCTGGGGAAACTGCGATCCCCCGCGATCCCCCCCAAAATGACCTCTGAGGTCCATAAACCTAACCTTTATCTGAGATTGCTGTGGGTGGGGGGAGATGGGCAAGATATATTCTCTGATAGTTATCATGATGGAAGGGTGCATTGTCATACCTGTAATGAGCAGAGTATGGGGAAGACGCACTTCTCTGGATAGCTAGATTCAAGTCCAGTAGCACCCTAGAGACCAACAAGATTTTCAGGGTATCCACTTTCATGAATCAAAGTTCCCTTCATCAGATAAAGACGGTCTTTTACAACCTAAAGGGAAAATGTGCTAGCTCTTTGATGTTTGGTGCAGTGGTTAAGGGCGGCAGACTAATCTGAGAGAACCGGGTTTGATTCCCCACTCTTCCACATGCAGCCAGCTGGGTGACCTTGGGTCGCACACAGTTCTTTCAGAGCTGTTCTCTCAAGAGCAGTCCTCAAAAGAGCTCTCTCAGCCCCACCCACCTCACAGGGTGTCTGTTGTGGGGAGAGGAAGGGAAAGGAGATTGTAAGTCGCTCTGAGACTCCGAGTGAAGGGCAGGGTATAAATCCAACACTACTACTACTACTACTACTACTACTACTACTTCATTGGACATGTTCTGTTGGGTTTGAACTCCAGGTTACCCAAGGCCCTAAGAGCCCCACGTGGGGAGGGGTCTGAAAAGGGGAGTCGTTCCTTTGTTAAGTAATTACATTTTTGGTTGAGGTTGTTGGGGGAAGCACGCTCACTTTTGTGTGTATTGTGATGAGGGATGATGGAGAGGAATGATGCCAAGAGATGCTTGCAGGTGTGCCCTGGGCTAGGTGTGCCCTGGGCTAGGGGTAACCAACAAAGACCAGATGCTCAAAGATTGTAAGCAGGGCTCTTTTTGTAGAAAAAGCCGAGCAGGAACTCATTAGCATAATAGGCCACACCCAGCAGCAAAACCCATTAGCATAATAGGCCACACCCAACAGCAAAACCCATTAGCATATTAGGCCACACCCTGACAGCACCGCTCATTAGCACATTAGGCCACACCGCCATGTTACCAGAAGTGTGGTCATCCAGCCACACCCACCTTTCCCTTCTTATTCTGTTTACCTTGTTTGTTGTCAAAACCTAGGGCTTTTTTTGTACAGGAGCTCCTTTGCATGTTAGGCCACACACCTCTAATGTAGCCAATCCTAATGAGTTTCTGCTGTTGGGTGTGGCCTATTATGCTAATGTGTTCCTGCTGGGCGTGGCCAACTCGGGAGCCAGCCAGAACTCCGTTCCTGTGCGTTCCTGCCCAAAAATAGCCCTGATTGTAAGTACCTGGCCAGTATCTTTTCTTTATTTTGCTAACCTATGCCTGGAACCTTTCTTATAGTTACCCTGACTTTGTGCCTTGTAGTAATTAAGTTGCCCTGACCTGGACGGCCCAGGTGAGCCCAATCTCGTAAGATCTCAGAAACTAAGCAGGGCTGGCCCTGGTCAGCATTTGGATGGGAGAAGAGCAAGGAATTCTAGGGTCCCTCTGCAGAGGAAGGCGATGGCAAGCGGTCTCTCTTGCCCCGAAAACCCTACAGGGTCGCCATAAGTCAACTACGACTTGATGGCACTTTACACACACAGACACAGTAATAAAGTTGTTTAACTAAAGAGTCTGCACACTTCATTACTTGCACTCGGCTGTGTGAATGAAGCACACCCCTTTAGTGTTGACCATGGGTGACAATAAGAATGAGAGGGAGGCAGTTTTACCCTGAGCTGGTGGCGTGCTATCAGAGAGGGGCAATTGGTGACTTTCTGCCCCAGCTTCCTGACTGGGCTGTGAGCTGGCAGGGGAAGTCTGGGGAGAAAGTACCTTGGCAGGTGTGGGGAGGGAAGGCTCTCCCACCGCAGAGATGCTGCCCTGTCTGTCACCTCCACGACCTCGGAAGCGACTCGTCTTCCTCTGTTTTAGAAAGGCTATGGTGATAGGCTTCAACTTTCCCCACACAGACAGACACATTTAGCACCTTCCATTAATGGACTTCTCTGTTCACCTCAGGGGAAAGCTTCCTTTTGTGCATGTGGAACTTCCATGGGAGCACTGAAGGCTCTATGGCCGGACACTTCTGTCACTGGGTTGGAATGAATGAGTTGAATGACTCACCCTGGACGTTAAGGACCCAGTAAGATTGCAGTCATCATTCTAAAACATGGCGAGATGACTGGTTAATCTATACCTGTTCACTAGTAATATCTGACTCCCGGTTTTTATCCCCACCTGGGCTAAAATAGAATGCTGTATTTTAAACACTGAAAGCTGAAGTCCCTTTCCCCCCAAAAAAACAATTTATTAGGATATAATAAAAAAGAAATGTTCAAACATATATCAAAACGTATACAATTATATATCCTTCCCTCCTCCCTTCCCCCCCCCTTCTCGGCTTCCCACAGTGCTCCAACCTCCTGCTCAATTCTTAAATTTTCTTCATACCTCCTTATCTCCTTATACACATCCACAGGTAACTTAATCTTCAACTGTTAGTCTTATACATTTGTCTATTTTCCACAGTTTTGATTTTCAATAATTCTCAAAGCAAAGTAAATTGTCCTTTACATCCCAGTATTTCTCCAAATAGTCTTTAAAGTCTATCCAGTCTGCAAAAAACTCTTCTGCTTCCAAATTATTAAGTTTCCTTGTCATTTTGTCCATTTCAGCCATAAAAAGTAATTTTTTAATCCATTCCCCTATTTCAGGGACCTTATCTTGTTTCCAACATTGAGCATACATCATTCTGGCAGACTGAAAGCTGAAGTCCTGATCTGTCCAAAAAGCATTTTTACAGTCCATAGATTTCAGTGGGAAAGTTGAACATGGACATAAATTTTTCTCATTGAGATGATTGGATTAAAGCATGCTTAACCTCGTTTGGATGAGTCCTTGCAATTGCCCCGTTAAACTGGATTCACACAAGGCCTCAGCATCTTGCCACAGTGGTTAAGAGTGCCAGACTAGAATCTGGGAGACCCAGGTTTGAATCCCCACTCATGCCATGGAAGCTCGCTGGGTGACCTTGGGCCAGTCACACTCTCTCAGCCTAATCTACTTCACAGGGTTGTTGTGAGGCTAAAATGGAGGAGAGGAGAAGGATGGAAGCCGCCATGGGTCCCACTGGGGGGATAAGACAGGGTATAAATGAATAAATAAATAAAAGAGAGCCAGTTTGGTGTAGTGGTTAAGAGCACAGACTCTAATCTAGGAGAACCAGGTTTGATTCCCCACTCACCCACATGCAGTTGCTGGTGTGACTTTGGGTCAGTCACAAGCCCTCTCAGAGCTGTTCTCTCAAGAGCAGTCCTTGAAAGAGTTCTTTCAGCCCTACCTACCTCACAGGGTGTCTGTTGTGGGGAGGGGAAGGTAAAGGAGATTGTAAGTTGCTTTGAGACGCCAAGTGAAGAGTGGGGTATACATCCAATCTCTTGTTCTCTTCTTCTTCTAAATAAACTGATTCTCATTAGACTTTGAAGGAAGGAATGCCATAAGGGTGCTTTCCTTCATCCTGACAATAGACCACCAAACAGTAAATTCAGTAATAATATTTTTTGCATATAACATACTGGTCTTTGGTATCTTAAGTCTCTAATATGTCTTATTTCTTTCTCTCTGCCCTCACTTCTAGGCAAAGCATCAAGAAACCGAGGCTGAAACTACAGTGCCCATTGGCAATGAGCTAAAACTGTTTATAGCAGAACCTGAGACAGATGATGAATTAGTTCCTGCATCTTCTCCTCCTGCAAAAAGTATCTCAGGGCTTGCTGAAAACCCAGTTTTGGAGGAGGCCCGTCACAAAAATGGCATTCAGATGGACAATGCAATATTGGGAAACTCCACAAGCCTTTATCTACCATATCAGGCTCATGCAACTGACCAATGGGAGCCAAGGTGGGCTGAAACCCTTCAAGTCACAACTATAGACAATAATGTAAGCCACAATGTATTACTCAATACCCTAGACTGCTCCCTTTCCATTTCTCGTCAAGAAGGCTTATGTGACCTTCTGACTCCCGGGGCTGTCCCGGATAGGCAAATGGAAAGAGGAATAGCATGCGGAACTAAGCCCCATGAGATCAACGAGATAAAAACAACCGATGACTCTCCCTGCGCGGAACATCTATCCAAAGTGGATTTCAAGACAACCTTGGAATGCTCAGAGCCTGAGGCTCAAGAAGCTGACTTATCACTGATGCACGAGCAGTTACAGAAGCTTCTTTATGAGGAAGAAGGATGGGACTGTGACTTCACTCACGCAGGCAGGGAGGTTAAGAGTTTAGCAGCTGGGCCTGACCCTGCCAAGGAGGCTGAAGGGCTGAACGTTACTGGAGATGTAAGCGCTGGCCATCAGCCCATGCCAGGACATTTAACGGGAGATAATCAGCTTGTCACCGAATTGGCAACCGCACTCGAAACGGTAACAGAAGACTACACAGATTGCGACAGCCTGCTGAGAACAGATGAAATGTGCGACAATGCATCTGTGGGCAAGAGCTCTCTTGCAGTACCTGTAGAAACAGATGTTGCGTGTCTAAGTGCCTCCTTTGGACACAGCACAGAAAAGCCATCTGTCCCTCTTTCACGTTGCAATCTCCTTGACACAGAAATATATCTGTACGATGACCAAAGGCGGACACAGTCAGGCAATAATGGACCTGTTCAAATGCCTCCCTCTCGGGAAAGAAGAATTATGACTAATAATGCATTCTCACCTCCTACTGCAGAATCTCCATTCGGGTTTACAGAAGCCCAGAACAGTCTTTTAAAATGTGGTCAAGAAATGCTAATAGAGGGATCCGCTCTTTATCTTGGCCCGTCACTTTATACCAAACCAGATGTTCGTTGTGGAGACGATGCCATTGCAAAGCAATCCGATGAGATCCCTGCTAAAAACTCTCACGTTGTACTGTGTCAATCAAGAATAAAAGATGGTGCTAATCTCCCCGAGCTTTCACCAAAAGAAGAGTCATCCAGTAATTTTTCTGGCAAAAACGTGGGTCAATTTACATGTGAAGGACACTCGTCAGTTATGGGAGTTGATAAAAGTACCAAAGAGAAATTTCAGGAGAAAGGAACGGAGTTAGATGTGAATGCCCAAAGTGACGGTAACTGTGGCATTTATCGTGTTTTGACAGGTAATGATAGTGACAGTTTCCACACTAAACCTGATGCAGGAAATTATAGCTACCATATGCACGAACATAAGTCAGTGATAGTCATTGCCTCTATAGCAGATTGGGATGGGCCGGAGGATGCTGACACAAGGGAAGCGGTGTTCAAAGCATCATACAAAGGTAAATTCCTATCCGAAATTCTGCTAGGAAGCAACAAGGATGAGGAAAACACTGTAAATCATGAAAGAAGGGACTGTAGAGGAACTGCAGAGCAAACTGCTCCAGAATCAGACACCGTCTTGGCGATACCACTGCCAGACTCTCAACAAAGAACATCAGGGGGGAAATCTAGCATCGCCAATGATGTCCGTGCAATTGAGAAAGGAGTGGGAATGCACATTACAGGCTTTACACCTGATTCTGGAAATGCAGTAGCCAGTATCATGGGGAATGAGTGTAGCAGTTCAGGTCTGGAGGACAGTCAGGGTGCTAGCAATATCGTAGGCACAGTTGGCAGTCAAGAGACGAATCAAGAAGACATGAATGAAGAGCGCAGCATGAAAGCCGTGGGGGTGGAATCCTTCAGGGCTGAAAGCCTAACGCCAGCTGAATCCAGGCACAGTAAGGCTGAGAAGAACATGAGTCAACAAACACCTCAACTGAGGCAGGATCCATACGAAAGGATGGAAGGAGGAAAGGGGATCCACATCATCCAGTACGAGAGAGATCCGGGGCAAAGAGAAATATCTCTTGCTCATTACTATGAAGAAGCTGAAGTGGAGCCTTACATGCGAGCACTGGTGGATCCCAAAGAACAGATACCTTCTTGGCTTGATAGCCTCGAACTGGAGCAGAATGAGCACCGAAAACTGAAAGAAGACAAACAGACCCAGGTAGCCCCTTGTGGTGGAAGGGATCATGGGGGACATGAAGAGTCCCTTGAGTGTGAACTAGAGGAAGTGGAAGTCGAGCCTTATATGAAGGCGCTCACGACTTCAGAAGAGATTCATTCCTGGCACGAAAGCATGAACTATATGCATCCTTCCGGTGAGCGAACTGGGGTGTCTATCGGAGCATGCGTAGGGGCATCTACAAGCCACAGTCGAGCTGGCGCATTCACAGAAGATAAGAATAAACACCTAAAGATGTCAGAGCCCAGTAGGGAGGCCTCGGTCAACGTTGTACCCTGCTCCTCTGAGAAACCCAAACTCTCCAAGGCAGCCTGGGCTCACAGCAGTCCCGAGGACGTGAAGCGTAAGCAAGAAACTGTGAAGAAGAAGATGGTGTCGAAGGTGCAGGTGAAGAAGCCACGCCTTGACGCAAAAGAAAACGCTTGCAACAGCGCCGGCTGCCTTAAAAAAGCCTCCAAAGCGGAGACAGGCCAGAAGGAAGATAAGAGAGTGCAGCGGAAGCTACCTTCAGAAAAAGACAGCAAAGGTATGTTCTGAAAGAGGTTTCCCAATTATACAGTTGCCAGGGGATGGGGAACTTCCCAGGCTTGCCAGAGAGCTGTTCCAAGACAGAAGAGTGTTTGAGCACCACCCAGGGACCCTGTCCCTTTAAAGAAATGCTGTGTTCTGAAAGAGGTTTCCCAATTATACAGCTGCCCGGGGATGGGGAACTTCCCAGACTTGCCAGAGAGCTGTTCCAAGGCAGAAGAGTGTTAGAGCACCACTCAGGGACCCTGTCCCTTTAAAGAAATGCCACTGATGGTGTAGGGTTGCCAGTTCCTCCCTGGCCACTGGTGGGGTGGGGTTGCCAGCTCCAGGTTGGGAAACTCCTGTTGGGAAACTCCTGGAGATTGGGGGTGGGTGGAGCCTGGCGGTGAGACAGGGACCTTAGTGGGGTACAATGCCTTAGAACCCACCCTCCAAAGCACCCACGTTCTCCTGGGGAACTGATCTCTGTAGTCTGGAGCACTGTTCCCTCTAAACTGAGTTCGTGTGAGCTAGCTCACAGTTTTTTAGCCTCCGGCTCACACATTTTTGTCCTCGCTCAGGAAGGATGGCTCCAGAGGAAACGGATTTATGCGGTAGCCAAATGCCTCGCTCACAACTTTAATGCCAGCAGCTCACAAAGTAGAATTTTTGCTCACAAGACTCCACAGCTTAGAGGGAACCTTGGTCTGGAGATGAGCTGTGATTCTGGGGGATCTCCAGGTCCCACCTGGAGGCTGGCATCCCACTAACTGGTGCTAGGGTTGCCAACCCTGGCTCTGGAAATTCCTGGAGGCTTGAGAGTGGTGTCTGGGGAGGGTGAAGTTTGGGGAGGGGAGGAAACTCAGCGGGGATGTGATTACAATGGGCACACCATGGAATCTGCCCTCCAAAGTTGCCATATCCTCCAGTGGAAGTGGTTTGTGTAGTCTGTGGATCAACTGCAACTTTGGGAGAGCTCCAGGCGCCTTCTGGAAGTTGACAGTCCTATTTTGTCCTCGCTCAGGAAGGATGGCTCCAGAGGAAACGGATTTATGCGGTAGCCAAATGCCTCGCTCACAACTTTAATGCCAGCAGCTCACAAAGTAGAATTTTTGCTCACAAGACTCCACAGCTTAGAGGGAACCTTGGTCTGGAGATGAGCTGTGATTCTGGGGGATCTCCAGGTCCCACCTGGAGGCTGGCATCCCACTAACTGGTGCTAGGGTTGCCAACCCTGGCTCTGGAAATTCCTGGAGGCTTGAGAGTGGTGTCTGGGGAGGGTGAAGCTTGGGGTGGGGAGGGGAGGAAACTCAGCGGGGATGTGATTACAATGGGCACACCATGGAATCTGCCCTCCAAAGCTGCCATTTCCTCCAGTGGAAGTGATTTGTGAAGTCTGGGGATCAACTGCAACTTTGGGAGAGCTCCAGGCGCCTTCTGGAAGTTGACAGTCCTAGTTGGTACCACCTCGGGTGGTCTGCTGCAACTCGGGGGTGGGGGTGAGCTGTGTCCACTGACAGGCTGGAGGAAGGAGAAAGAGGTGTTGGAAATCTCCCCTTCGGATTCTGAGGCCATTGGGTAACAGCAGCAGGCAACATCTGGAAGCAGGCCTCTGGAGGAACAGGACCCCAGTGCCAGCTGGGATCTCCCAGAATTGAAGCTCATCTCCAGAATGCAGAAATCAGTCCCCCTGGAGAAGTTAATTATCGTATGGCAGTGTGTGTAGTATACCCAGGAGATCCTAAGATTGTCTGGCAGGCAGAAGTTCTAGCTCTTTTAGCATTATGCACCACTAGGTGGCGAGATAGACTTGTTTTTAATGCAAGACAAGTTTTAGAGGTGGTTGGTAATTTCTTGCCTCTGCACCGCAGCCCTGGTATTCCTTGGAGGTCACCCATCCAAATACTAGCCAGGGCCGACCCTGCTTAGCTTTCGA